GTACATGGAGCCTGAAAGCTGCGCTATCCAAGTATGCGTAGCCATGCCAGGCGAGTGGAGCGAATCTGGCACGAAGATCGGCTCTTTCTTCTTTCTGTTGTTGTCTCGGGCTTGGGACGCCCAACGTGGAGCAACTTTCGGCGCTTGGGCCGGGCAAGCAAGCATGGGGTCCCACAGGGCGTTCCTTGACCTCTTAATACACAGCTTCACCACCATTATCTGAAGGTCCGACAAGATTCAGACTGCCCACTGCAGGGCATGTGAATGTGTTTATTTCCCGCTGCACCAAGCAACATGCAGGACCTACTAAGCCTTAAAGTTCCTAGAGTCCATGTCCCGCCAGGCCAGTTGCACAACATTTGACAAACTCCACAACTTGCATCGGCTTTCAGGGTGTACAGCATTACAGATCCTCCCAAGCAACAGCACAAGGCAGGGTCTCTTCTCTCTGCCATACTGTGCCAAAGAACTTGTGAGTGGCTGTGAGAGTTTCAGAAAACAGGTGACCTGAGGTGACCTGTATTGTAGCACCAGATAACGGGATCCTAATCATAAGGGCCCCACAGTGGAGGAACCCTGAAGTCTAAAAAAACTACAACCCTAAATGATAGGATCCTTAAGGCAAGGGCCTTGAATTCCTGTTTTCCCCCACACGCACGCAGACGTAGACGCAGATGCGCACACACACACACACACACACACACACACCCGCGCACACACGCACGCGCACACACACGCACACACACACACACACGCGCACACACACGCACGCGCACACACACGCACACACACACACAGCACACGCACTCGCACTCGCACTCGCAACACGCACACGCACACGCACACGCACGCACACACAGGCACACGCACACGCACACGCAACGTGGTTCCGTCCTTACGAAATTTAGACCTTAAACGAATCCAATTCAAAACCTTTTAGGTAGAACCCTCAAAGAACGCTTGTTGCACCCTCAAGCCCGTTATGGAACCCCTAAAGAACGCCTTGTAGTACCCTCATACTACTCTTTTCCATCCCGCGAATTGCCCTGGTAACTCCCTTACAATACACTTACAACATATTACAACACCCTCACAGTACCCCTACAAAAACACCCCCATCGAATGCCCATGGTACCCCCGTAGTACTATGACCTCATAGTACCCTGATAAAGCCCTCAAAGAACCCTCGTAGTACCCTTACAAAGCCCTTAGGGGTACCCTTAAAGGATCTGCTAAGTGAACCCTTAAAGGAGCCCGTAAAGGAATCCTTAAAGGAACTCGAGAGGGAGCCCTTGCTTCGAGGCTCAGCGCGAGACTTGGGCTCCGCGAGTCCCGAGGAGTTCAAGGCCTGCGAAGCGAAGTCCAAGTAAAATCTACAAGGCTACCATAAAGGAGCCCCCAACAGGATCCTTTAAAGGAATCCCAATATAATACAGTAGGAGCCCTTAAGGCTACCGTAAAGGAGCCTTTAACGTAAAGGCTTTTTTTTGAGGACCTTTTTTCCAGCTGCAGTAAAGTCAAGGTTTAGTTTGCAGGGGTTTCTATAAAGGAGCCCTTAACTAAAGGAATCATGATAGGAACCCTTTAAAGGAACGCTTCGAGGATCCCTTACAAGGAACCCTTATAGGAGCCCTTGAGGGTACCATAAGGGTACGAAGATTGGCTGAAGGGCTCCATGAAGAGCTTCACTAGGGTACCATGAGGGGTTGTATTCAGACTGTATTAAAGGTACTATGAAGGGTTCCATTCAGGGATTTATTAAGGGCACGATCCAGGGTTCCATTAAGGGTACTGGTAAAGGCAAGGGTTCTCTAGGTATAAGCAAGGGTACGTACAAAGGTTTTTCAGGGCTTCATAACTAAGGGTTCTAGAACGGCACGATGAGGGTTTTCATTGCGGGTACCATAAAAGAAAATTATAGGGTACCGCAAGGGTACTAAGGGAAAGTTTGCTGAGATATTCAGGGCTTTAGGGCGGCTTATTGAACCCTGGACCCCAAACCGCAACTTCCAGAAACAGAGCAAAGAGAAGGACAGAATGCAGATTTGCCCAATGTGGAGCCTGCTCGGCTTTCTTGATGCTGTGCGACAGGTCCTCCAACTCCTCGCGATGCAAAGCGTGCAAACCGAGGAGAGGAGCTACAGATCAATAGTCGCTGACTAGCAAACCTTTAACAACTTTAATTAACAAGCCGCATGTATGCGGCCTGGCGCATACCCAAGCCTCTGCAAAACAGGCTGCTAGAAGTAATTGGGCGGTTGTTCATCTGACGACGACATCCAAGGAGTTGGGGACCACAAAAATGTCCAATCTGCCCTCGCGTCCTGTCTTAGGCGCTTGTTCTCGTCTTCCAGCCACCTTCAATGCAGCAATGCAAAGGCAAATTGCGCGAGTCTCCAATTCATTGTGGTTGGGCTGCTCCCTGGCAGAGACTATCTGACGCTTTGCCAGGCCGCAAAACTTGCACTGTAACTGATGCCTCACGGGAAAGGCAGTCCTCTGAGGGGCACACGCATTGCGATCAGCCAGGGTCATAAGAGAACTGCCAAGACGCGACCACAGCCAGCACCTGATTCCCACAATGAGTTGGCAAATTCCTTTTCAACAGCATGCAAGGAGGCTGCATGCATAAACCATGCAGGAAACCTGTACGATCTGTCTTTGCAAACCACTGCAACAGCGGCAAGAGAACTGGGAAACACACGCATGCTCACGCATGTGGCCAGCCTTGCAGGCACTGCCATGCTCTCTCTGCCAACACGGCCGAGTCCGTGCTACAGGCGGAGTGGTGCGAAGCGTTGCCATTCTTTCACGACATCAGCAGACCAGCAGTACACATGCAGCTGCAGGGCTTGCAAGCCCAGGCAGCTCACTGGCGATCGAAATGAAACCAAAATGTGCAGAAACCTTGGACTCTTCTCGAAGCGGCGTCATCTCGACTTTGACTTTGCTAGCTACTGTGCCGGTTTGTTGTCAACATGCTTGGGGCGCACAGGATGCGCACCGCGCAGCAGAGGATTCTGGCCATAGACTGCGCTAGACTGCATTGCATGATTCCTGGGGTGCCGGTCCTCTGTGAGATCGCCCTGCGCCACTGTAGCCGGCGCCTGAGCCACAAGCCGGGAGGAAGTCGCAGATTTTGTCTCTTCCACAACACAAAGGGGGATCGGAGCAACTTCCTCCTGACATGCTTCTGTTTATCTCAGCACAGCATCAATTCAATTGGCCTCTGCAGCTGGTGTACGGCTCGAGCATGCGCTGTTGGCACCTCAGCTTGCGCTGTCTTCTGACTGAAATTGCAAACACAAGTGCAGAGAATCCCGAGGAACAGCAGCTGGTCGGCACGGCGCTGCCTGCAGCCGCCTGCAGTTGTACAAGAAGAAAGGCGAGCACTGCCAGCAGATCCTCGCAAAGTTGCCGACCTGCTGCGGTCTGCCTGGCATCAACGAGCCGCAGACTTTGTCCCGCATGTCGTCCCACCTCGGCGACCCAGATTAGTGGAAGAAAACCAAGTGTACATGGAGACTTCAACGAAGACGCCCAAACCACCTCCACACATCCCTTTGTCCTTAAGGGCGTCGCACAGCATTCAGGTCTTTCTGCTGAGACTCAAAGATGGCCTCGCACCAGCAAAAGGCTCGTCAAGAGGCCACTTACCCCCCGTTCTGCTCCCTTTCTGATGTGGGCGGAGCCGGCCTGAACTCTGCCCAATGGCCTCAGAGTCTACCAGAGACACCCAACAAGCCAGCTTTAGAGAACCGAGCAGGACTCGGACATGCAAAGAATTTGAAACCGTGCGCATCGGAGCCCCGGCGCCATTCGATCATACGCCGCAGCGACTGTAGCCTGGCTTTCAATTTCGAGACGACAGCTGGGCTTCGTGCGATGTCCACAGAGACCATGCTGCACTGGAAGGTAATGAAGTCATGTTGCCAGCGTTTACTCTAAATGGAGAATTGCGATGAAGGCAGCCGGCGAATTCTGAGTGAGGGGCCAGCGAGTCGTAAGACGCATAGCCGTCCCAGCTGAAGTCTGCATTCGCAGACGGCGGGTGGTCGGAGACCTGGATAACACCGGGGGATCCATGCACACAAAGGCTGGGCATGCAAAGTTGACAAGCATTTCCAAAACAACTTTACCGCTACGACCCTAGCCGTGCTGCATGTAGCTGCCCCTTTCTTACTCAGGGTGTCTTCAGGGTGTCCGGCTCGGAGCCCCTCGCCGGCGGCCTCGGGGGCGGAGCTGGCCTCGTTCGATCTTCGCTCCCGGGGTTTAGGGTTGATACTGATGTTGACAAGTTGATACTGATGTTGACAAGAATATGAGTAGAAATTCCATTAATACTATAGATCTATACAGTCTATACTAGTACTGTACTAATACCCACACTAGTAGGAAGTCGCCCTCATGCCCGGCACCTCCTCCTCCATGGCACTTCGCGGGCCACGGCATCCGCTTTTTCAAGGGCGACGTTGAGGCTTGGGACTGGAATGGGGTTCGTGGGAGGTGTGGGGTTGACTGGAGTTCACCCGGGGCGTCTCCCTCTGAAGTTTTCAAGATGCCCCAGAGCATACTACATTTTGAACTGCATCCAGCTAGGCTCGGGTGTTGGAGGCAAAGGCCGTGGAGACACTTCTCATGGAGGTAGGCATTGTGGCCTGACTGCTGCTTGGAATCAGCTGACGATGCTTGAGCAAGTGCTCTGCACTCACATGGCTGCGCAGGCCGGAATAGTGACCGCACGTGTAAACACGGGACAGCCAGCTCCGCAAACGCTTCTTGCCGACTTCTACGAAAAGATTTAAGCAAACTGTCATACACTCTCCGCTGAAAAGAACCTGTCGTGAAAGGTTACCGTTGCGCGCTTTTTCCAAGTTTGGAAAAGTCCCACCGATTCCCGCCGGCCTTTCAAGAACGTGTGTGAGACTATTGATCTGCGGTTCCTGAAACGTCCTCATTGCTGTCAAGCTCTCCCAGGTCTGAAGGCTTCTAAAAGCACTTCAATACAGCCAAGGAAAAGGGTGGCGGGTCAGTGCCGCTTGTGTGACAGCGCCTGCAAAGGCAAGCATCGCCAAACCTCAACTTCACGAAGGGATGAAGGACAAGGTCTGCATGCAAGACAAGAAGGCCAACTGTGTCCTCGTGATGCTGCTTGGGCTGCACATCACCTGAGCCGAGCGGCGCCCGTTCTTGAGCTCGGCCAGACGCATCTTCTTCTGGCCCTCTTCATCGCTGGGGAACCAGTTGGTCAGGCCATAGTCGCCGGCGACCTGCAAGGGAAGCAGCATCTTCGGATCTTCATCCGGTCTGTGCAAGCTGCATCAAGCTGCACATTTCAACCCTGGCGCGCCTCGAGAGAGTTCCACTCGAAGACCTTCTTTGCGCAGCAGAACTCCACGATGCTGATCCAGAACCTTGACAGAAACGCCCCATCGTGCAACGTGCGCCTTAGAATCAGAGTTGGCTCCTTCGCAAATGCATCCAGGGCGCAAGATCTGTGCGTTGACACCGGTGGCACCACGGAACGCCTCGTGAGCATCGATGGAGACTGGCACCGCCTGACAACAAGATCGCTAACGCCATCCTAAACTTGACGTCTTCACATGTTTGCACGCGATGCAAATGCAGTGTACTGCATTGCATGTGCTTCGCCATTGGACCTCGAAGGAGAACTTCTCACCCGGCAGGCGGACGAAGTCCTTGCCCGACAGACGGCTTGCGACTACGTTAGAGATGAGATCCCTCTTCCTCCCATACTGTAGCGAGCGCTGTCAATCAAATCTGCCAGCTTCAGGTCTCAACTTTTGGCAGAGCAGTCCGGCACAACCATGCCGAGCCATGCAAGCATCGCGATGCGGCCGTGCTTCAACTCTGCCTGCCACCGCATGTGCTTGCATAATCATTGCCGTCAGCGGAGAATGGGCATGCGAGACCCGAAGCACTGTTGCCTCTAGGAGCGCATTCAGAACAAAAAGTATCATGTGAACGCATGGCCTAGAGCGGCAAAGACGGCTTACATGCTGCGCAGTGCGAGGCAGCAGGTCCGACATCATCCCGGTCTTGACATCTAAGGCATCCAGATGCATCCAGCCTCGCGGAGGTAGGGAACAACCTCCGTCTTCCTTAGGGCATTCAGGCTGGACGCATCAAGTCAGGGCATGGACCGGAACTCTCTGGCCTTCTGTGGCCTCACGTACACCAGGGTCACTACCGTATGAAGCTGTGTAGTTCTGCCCCTGCTACTTCAGCCAAAGCTCGTGGAGAAGCCCAAGGGGTCGAACTCGAAGCGCCCCCAGGCACCTTCGGCGCCCACCAGGCCCTGCGCGAACTTGCCTGAGTTCAAGCCCAAGCTTCCGTGGAAACTTTTTTTCATGGCGATTTTCAATGCGTTGCTTGGCAGACGTGGCACACCTGCGATGTCAACTGCATTGAGCCAAGTTGCCGTTGTCAAGGAGGTCGATGCCAGAATCCTCGTAGGCCACGGCCAGGTCGCGACGAGCTGCCTCACACGTTAGGTCTTCAAATGCTGTCTACACAGAGTCTACAGGCGTGGTCGTTCACCACGTGCAACCAATGCCAATCGCTTCACCGATCGGCCTTCTGCGCGGTGCGTGCCGGGCGCACCGACCGCAGCGAGGCAATCGCAGCCACTGCAACAGCCCCGCCAGCAACTGCACCAGTGGCACCGAAGCCTGGTAGCTTGGCCGCTTTGGACTGATTTAGTCTCGGCTGTTGGCTTGGGCTTGGACACGATATTGAGCAAAACGAAGTTCTGCGCCTGTTGCAGCTGCAGTGGAGCCGCGCAGATGCGGAGATGTTGCTCCCCGAGCACCTGTGATAAAAGGCAGGGCAAATCAAGCTACTTGCAAAACTCGGCAGGCCGTTGTTCCAAATTTCTTGTCATGCACATGGGTCACACGGACGAAACACTCATCTTGTTGGGCAAGCCTGGCCCCTGAGTCTTAACGGCTTCTGCATCCACCTCCAAACACGGGGACGAAAGCCGGTGCCACAAGGCCGGCGGCCGCCGCAGCGGCAAGGCCTGCCACCGCGTCGAAGTTCGGATTCTTGGTTTTTCCTGACTGCCAAAACTCAGATCAAGCTGCAAGCTGCTGTCTGGCTGGAAGGCATGGCGAACAAGCAGGAAGTCGGCGGGCTCCCAAAAAAAAGTACGCTGCAAGGTTCGAGCCCAGAAGCATCGTGCGCCGTCACTTTTGACGCAATTGAATTAAAAGACGGTATCCCCCCACCCTGGCATCGCTGAGACAGTCTACCTTCATTTTCTCCGACGGAGACTGCGAGATGCCGTGCCACTTGCTGAGTGTCCAGGCCAGGCTATGCCTCAATGAACATGGCCGCAAGGGGCCTGATCCATGGAGGCCTCTCAGTAGAGCCAAGGGAAAGGGTGGCGAGTCAGGGCGGCTTGCGTGACAGCACCGGCGAAAGCAAGCATGGCCAGACCTGAGCGTCAGCCACAGCCACAGCCAGAGCCTTCATGGCGACTGAGGTTCGCGTGGCCATGCTCCTTGAGCCTAGCGGCGCCCGTTCTTGAGCTCGGCCAGACGCATCTTCTTCTGGCCCTCTTCATCGCTGGGGAACCAGTTGGTCAGGCCATAGTCGCCGGCGACCTGCAAGGGAAGCAGCATCTTCGGATCTTCATCCGGCCTGTGCAAGCTGCATCAAGCTGCACATTTCAACCCTGGCGCGCCTCGAGAGAGTTCCACTCGAAGACCTTCTTTGCGCAGCAGAACTCCACGATGCTGATCCAGAACCTTGACAGAAACGCCCCATCGTGCAACGTGCGCCTTAGAATCAGAGTTGGCTCCTTCGCAAATGCATCCAGGGCGCAAGATCTGTGCGTTGACACCGGTGGCACCACGGAACGCCTCGTGAGCATCGATGGAGACTGGCACCGCCTGACAACAAGATCGCTAACGCCATCCTAAACTTGACGTCTTCACATGTTTGCACGCGATGCAAATGCAGTGTACTGCATTGCATGTGCTTCGCCATTGGACCTCGAAGGAGAACTTCTCACCCGGCAGGCGGACGAAGTCCTTGCCCGACAGAGGGCTTGCGACTACGTTAGAGATGAGATCCCTCTTAGCGCTGTCAATCAAATCTGCCAGCTTCAGGTCTCAACTTTTGGCAGAGCAGTCCGGCACAACCATGCCGAGCCATGCAAGCATCGCGATGCGGCCGTGCTTCAACTCTGCCTGCCACCGCATGTTCTTGCATAATCATTGCCGTCAGCGGAGAATGGGCATGCGAGACCCGAAGCACTGCTGCCTCTAGGAGCGCATTCAGAACAAGTATCATGTGAACGCATGGCCGAGAGCGCAAAGACCTGACCTCCGAGAAACTCGAGGGCCTAAGCGTTATAGTATTTCCGGCTTACATGCTGCGCAATGCGAGGCAGCAGGTCCGACATCATCCCGGTCTTGACATCTAAGGCATCCAGATGCATCCAGCCTCGCGGAGGTAGGGAACAACCTCCGTCTTCCTTAGGGCATTCAGGCTGGACGCATCAAGTCAGGGCATGGACCGGAACTCTCTGGCCTTCTGTGGCCTCACGTACACCAGGGTCACTACCGTATGAAGCTGTGTAGTTCTGCCCCTGCTACTTCAGCCAAAGCTCGTGGAGAAGCCCAAGGGGTCGAACTCGAAGCGCCCCCAGGCACCTTCGGCGCCCACCAGGCCCTGCGCGAACTTGCCTGAGTTCAAGCCCAAGCTTCCGTGGAAACTTTTTTTCATGGCGATTTTCAATGCGTTGCTTGGCAGACGTGGCACACCTGCGATGTCAACTGCATTGAGCCAAGTTGCCGTTGTCAAGGAGGTCGATGCCAGAATCCTCGTAGGCCACGGCCAGGTCGCGACGAGCTGCCTCACACGTTAGGTCTTCAAATGCTGTCTACACAGAGTCTACAGGCGTGGTCGTTCACCACGTGCAACCAATGCCAATCGCTTCACCGATCGGCCTTCTGCGCGGTGCGTGCCGGGCGCACCGACCGCAGCGAGGCAATCGCAGCCACTGCAACAGCCCCGCCAGCAACTGCACCAGTGGCACCGAAGCCTGGTAGCTTGGCCGCTTTGGACTGATTTAGTCTCGGCTGTTGGCTTGGGCTTGGACACGATATTGAGCAAAACGAAGTTCTGCGCCTGTTGCAGCTGCAGTGGAGCCGCGCAGATGCGGAGCTGTTGCTCCCCGAGCACCTGTGATAAAAGGCAGGGCAAATCAAGCTACTGCAAAACTCGGCAGGCCGTTGTTCCAAATTTCTTGTCATGCACATGGGTCACACGGACGAAACACTCATCTTGTTGGGCAAGCCTGGCCCCTGAGTCTTAACGGCTTCTGCATCCACCTCCAAACACGGGGACGAAAGCCGGTGCCACAAGGCCGGCGGCCGCCGCAGCGGCAAGGCCTGCCACCGCGTCGAAGTTCGGATTCTTGGTTTTTCCTGACTGCCAAAACTCAGATCAAGCTGCAAGCTGCTGTCTGGCTGGAAGGCATGGCGAACAAGCAGGAAGTCGGCGGGCTCCCAAAAAAAAGTACGCTGCAAGGTTCGAGCCCAGAAGCATCGTGCGCCGTCACTTTTGACGCAATTGAATTAAAAGACGGTATCCCCCCACCCTGGCATCGCTGAGACAGTCTACCTTCATTTTCTCCGACGGAGACTGCGAGATGCCGTGCCACTTGCTGAGTGTCCAGGCCAGGCTATGCCTCAATGAACATGGCCGCAAGGGGCCTGATCCATGGAGGCCTCTCAGTAGAGCCAAGGGAAAGGGTGGCGAGTCAGGGCGGCTTGCGTGACAGCACCGGCGAAAGCAAGCATGGCCAGACCTGAGCGTCAGCCACAGCCACAGCCAGAGCCTTCATGGCGACTGAGGTTCGCGTGGCCATGCTCCTTGAGCCTAGCGGCGCCCGTTCTTGAGCTCGGCCAGACGCATCTTCTTCTGGCCCTCTTCATCGCTGGGGAACCAGTTGGTCAGGCCATAGTCGCCGGCGACCTGCAAGGGAAGCAGCATCTTCGGATCTTCATCCGGTCTGTGCAAGCTGCATCAAGCTGCACATTTCAACCCTGGCGCGCCTCGAGAGAGTTCCACTCGAAGACCTTCTTTGCGCAGCAGAACTCCACGATGCTGATCCAGAACCTTGACAGAAACGCCCCATCGTGCAACGTGCGCCTTAGAATCAGAGTTGGCTCCTTCGCAAATGCATCCAGGGCGCAAGATCTGTGCGTTGACACCGGTGGCACCACGGAACGCCTCGTGAGCATCGATGGAGACTGGCACCGCCTGACAACAAGATCGCTAACGCCATCCTAAACTTGACGTCTTCACATGTTTGCACGCGATGCAAATGCAGTGTACTGCATTGCATGTGCTTCGCCATTGGACCTCGAAGGAGAACTTCTCACCCGGCAGGCGGACGAAGTCCTTGCCCGACAGAGGGCTTGCGACTACGTTAGAGATGAGATCCCTCTTCCTCCCATACTGTACCGAGCGCGGTCAATCAAATCTGCCAGCTTCAGGTCTCAACTTTTGGCAGAGCAGTCCGGCACAACCATGCCGAGCCATGCAAGCATCGCGATGCGGCCGTGCTTCAACTCTGCCTGCCACCGCATGTTCTTGCATAATCATTGCCGTCAGCGGAGAATGGGCATGCGAAACCCGAAGCACTGCTGCCTCTAGGAGCGCATTCAGAACAAAAAGTATCATGTGAACGCATGGCCGAGAGCGCAAAGACCTGACCTCCGAGAAACTCGAGGGCCTAAGCGTTATAGTATTTCCGGCTTACATGCTGCGCAATGCGAGGCAGCAGGTCCGACATCATCCCGGTCTTGACATCTAAGGCATCCAGATGCATCCAGCCTCGCGGAGGTAGGGAACAACCTCCGTCTTCCTTAGGGCATTCAGGCTGGACGCATCAAGTCAGGGCATGGACCGGAACTCTCTGGCCTTCTGTGGCCTCACGTACACCAGGGTCACTACCGTATGAAGCTGTGTAGTTCTGCCCCTGCTACTTCAGCCAAAGCTCGTGGAGAAGCCCAAGGGGTCGAACTCGAAGCGCCCCCAGGCACCTTCGGCGCCCACCAGGCCCTGCGCGAACTTGCCTGAGTTCAAGCCCAAGCTTCCGTGGAAACTTTTTTTCATGGCGATTTTCAATGCGTTGCTTGGCAGACGTGGCACACCTGCGATGTCAACTGCATTGAGCCAAGGTGCCGTTGTCAAGGAGGTCGATGCCAGAATCCTCGTAGGCCACGGCCAGGTCGCGACGAGCCGCCTCACACGTTAGGTCTTCAAATGCTGTCTACACAGAGTCTACAGGCGTGGTCCTTCACCACGTGCAACCAATGCCAACAGGCCAATCGCTTCACCGATCGGCCTTCTGTGCCGTGCGTGCCGGGCGCTGCGCCGCCACCGTGCCAAAGGCAGCCACGGCAGCTGCACCAACCACTGCGCCAGTGCTGTAAGGGCCTGCATGGAGCCGAAGCTTGCTGTATCAACCGCATCTCAGTGCAACGGAAAAATTCAATCAGCCCACCTGTGGCTTGGGAGCCTCGTGCAGATTGCACCTTGGGGCTGCGGAGACCTGCAGCCGATAATCACTTACGATGTTAAGCATTCTTGTTTGGTCTCGTCTCGCCTTGAGTTCCGGCAGGAACAAAGCTGGGAACGGTGAGACCCGCCACGGCAGCCGCCGCGAGGCCTGCTATCCGATAATGGCTTGCCACTGGCTGCAAAGAGTGTTCACACCACAATCCATAGTTTGAGTTCTGGGTCAATTTAGTCTCAAATCCTTCGTGCTGTCTCTGGTCTCTACAACAGTGCAAGAAATCTCGGAATCGTGGAATGAAGTGTCTGGGATGTTTTGGGGAATGCTGTCTCTGAGGCAGGGCTTGCCGGTACTCTTGCAAATCCAAGCAGCATGCAGTGGTTGAGCTGCTGGGCATGGCAAAGAAACGCGATAAAATGGCAACTCCAAAAAAATGCGCTGCGTTATTGCGAGCGCCCCTGAGCCACCAAAAGAGTATGAATGCAGAGACACAGGACATCAGTGACACAAATCAAGAAAAATCAGCTGCACAAGCCCGGTCTCTGTGCAGATCGAGCGTAAGGCGCAATGCTGCTGCGGCTGTGGTTTGGCACACGAAGGACAAGCGTGGACGACACACCCGCACACGCACGCACACATCGACAGAAGATTGCAAGCAGCACGAGAACTGCTCTGACTCGCCATCTGCTATGCAAGTGGTGGGGAAGCGTTCACTTAAGTCATACACAACGAACTCCATCTTTTCCGCGGTCGGGGCTTTGATGAAGACTCTGAGGCTCCTCCTGCAGTCTAAAGGCACATAAGCCCTGGCTGGGCAGCTCGAGTCTCCAGATAAAGCAAGCCCGTGGTGCCTCGGTGTCGCTGAAGACCAAGTGACGCGGCGGTGCCTTCGGCGGCCGTCGTCGCATGACCTGCTGAGTGCTCACAGGCCACATATACCACAAATCTGACATTGCGAACTCATCTTGAGACGTTGACCTCCCGCATAGCCATAGTGGCATACTGTCCAGGCCCCAATTGAAAATCCAGCACCAGTGACTCTCTCCTCAGCCGGCTCAGCACGATCGAAGTTCCTTCCACAACTCCGCTGTCCTCGCTTAACCTCCCGGCAATTGCAAGAGGATCTAAGCCAGCAGCTCATCGAGGTCATGTTTGGCACGGGCACGGGCAAAATGATTCACTGCACGGCTTACCTGCTGCAGCAGAAAGCGAAACGCTTCGTTACATTCGCAAGGGCTCTATCAACTTATTCAAAAAATGTGGGTATCCATGCATCCGCGGTGGATGCAGGGAGATAGTTCCGGGAGCACATGGAGATTATCGAGTGCAGGGAGAGGTGAGACGGAGCTTCATGAACCCATGACGATGTCTGCTTCAGGTCTCTAAACCCTAAACTCTAGACCCTGAACCGTGCAAAGCCGCTGAACTGGTTGCTTTGGTTTGCCTGGTGAGAGGCCACCCCCAAACCCTAAGCTTCTGCGCTCTGCCGGCCTTGTGGTTCACAAGATTTTATCCTCATATAATCGTACTAACTAACAACAGCCATAATAACAATAATTATCATCATGATAACGATAATACTAACAATAATAACAATAGTAATAATGGCAATAACAATAATGGCACTAATCGTAACGGTCATCAGACTGCTTCCGCCGAGAGCCCAGTACCCCTTAATTCAGGAATATGGCTTGAATTATAGTAGGATCCCTAATATGATTTAAGGAATATTCCGAAATTTAAGGGGTATTGGGCTCTCTGGGTCTTTCACAAGGCAAAGCGCCCCTCCCCTGGCCTTCGTCCCAGGCTGGTCTGCCCAATCGGTCTTGGGAATGCCAACGTTGGGCTCCAAGTACCAACTGCGGCGCAACGGTAAACCCTAAACCGCTAAACCCTATACCCCTCAACCCTAAACCCCTAAACCTTAAGGTGCAGTTTGGGGCAATTGGACAGTTTGGGGCCGAAGGGGGCGGGGAAGAGGATCGTCTCTTCTCATCAAAGTTCACGTAGCCTTTTATAAGGATTCCGGTCAGCCTTGCTTCACGGAGCAGGAGAGCGTCCCGCCTGAGCTTCTCTGGCCGAATGAGGACGTGTCGCATGCAGCCAGTGAGCCGGACGGGATCGTCCGTGTGGGGGGCCTCATCACCAAGCAAAGACCAAAGGCCGGCTCTCCCTGGAAAGGCGGAAAGCTCCAGGCCTCCAGGGTCAGCTCCTCGGGATCGAGGCCGTCGTAAGCAAGGTAACTCCGCCTGAGAGTCTCTGCAACGCTGGCTCTTCAGCTTTGATGCAATGCTGGCACAGCTTGGACGCGAAAGCGGATGATAATGAAGAGGCGTTGCTCAAGATCAACAGCTCAGGAAGTCATGAACTGAGCCGAAAAGACGAAATCTACCGAGCTTCTTCACAATGCGGGCCAGGGGACATAAAATGCCCCACATGATGACCGGGCAAGGACACACCTGCAGGGGAGCGATTTATGGTAGCACTCGCCCACGTACCCGTGTTGAGCGTTCTTGTGCAAACGATCGACAGAGCTCTCCTGCTCCAGGTCGTGGCAGCAGCAACTGGAAAATCGAGGCCTCACGATTCAGTTAGCTTGTCAAACCGACAGGAGGAACTTCGCTGTTGGTGCTGCTCGAGCCTTTGCAGCCTCTTCCTTCTCCAAGTGCACCGGCCTCGTACGCCAGCAGATTCAAATCAGACATGACTTCAGGTAGCAGCAAAAGCATGCCAAAGCGACATAAACGAGTATCCGTCAGTTCCAAATGCTTGAACGCACGCACACAACAACATCAGAGCCCTGTGTTCATTAAAAACCCTATCTAACATGTATGAGTATATATACATATATATATATAATACAAGATGTATATACACTGTATACTACTTGTGGTAAATATCGATTACCAGATCGTGCCCCAGAATACAGCCTGCATGTTCCGGGTTGCAGCATGTCGTCCATGAGATCGCCTTCGACCAGCCTCAAGCAATCAGACTTGACTGGGCGCATTGATTATAAGTGAGGACTGGATACACCGCGGACGGCTGGCGAACTGTTACGCTACAGAGCAGAACAAATCAAGTTCCGACCCGCTGAAGGGCTGCTACAGTAAGGTGAAGGAGATTTCGGCGACAAGAAATGACGACGACAATCTTTCTGAGCGAGAAGCTGCAAACCTAATTGTCTGCGCTCGGTGGCGCCCAAGTTCCAAAGTCTGTCCACGTAAGAGTGGGCGTAGAGGGCGCGAATGGTCCTGGAAGGCGGCCGAGTTCGATCTTGACTTCATTTTTATTGGGAGTTTCCGAAAATTAGGGGAAGAACTCTTTCGGGGTCCTTATAAAATAAGGATCCTACTATTAGGTACTATCTTACTGTAGTGTCCCCTATTTTCGGAAGCTCCCTTATGATTGTCCACCCAACACTGCATTCACTTCGTATGAGATGATGTCCTTGGCAGGGCCAGAAATGCTTCACGAGCAACTTCGCCCCATCGCATGCCTGGGAGGTCTAGGGGCTGAACGGAAGCAGCTGGAACCGTCAAACCGATGGAGCTGAGTGTCCCCGAATTCAAAAATCCACGGTGGGCAGTCCTAATTTGAATCCAGGGTCGCTTCTTTGGAGGCGATGTATGCTCCTGCATCGAAGGCATGCAAAGGTACAGGAGCCTGCCTGCTTGATGCAAGGTGTGCAAAAACGAGCGTACTGCTTACTGACACGACACAGTTTTTGAGCCCAATCCCCAGGCTCGAGTGCGCAAAAACTTCCCAGCCTGTTCGGTTTTGGCACCCTGAAATTGAGGAGATCAGGTTAAGCAACCCGGAACCTAAACCCTCAGATGACGGATGGCAGCAAGCCCGACACCACGCTTGCAAAGAAGGGTGCTGGGCAGCACCGGAGGAGAGTGGCAAGAACCACGAAAGAGGTGATAAGGTGACGGCGAGCCACTTGAAACAAGGGTCACTGCAAGATGCTCTTTACAAGCACATGGGAGCAAAAGGGAAGCTTGATGTCATGTTTGGCGGCCGTTCCCGGGCGCCACCGATCCACGGAACACTCTACATTACGGAGACGTCTGCAACAATCGGCTAACAATCGAAACGCATGCATAAACAATCATCATCCGTGGCCTCGTCACACCACTTTGGCATGGCAGTTCCACCCTCAATGTCCTGACATACAACACGGAGACACTGGTCTAAGCTAGTTCGAGGCTTTGGTGTCTCGAAAGCGTCGTCGCAGCAAATCAGCATGCAACCAACCGCATTGTGGCACAGTCAGAATGTCACTCCACAGTTCCTTGCTGGGACTGTGGACCAGTGGCCCAAAGCCACGATGCCCTAAACCCAAAAGCCCAAAACCCAAGTCCAAAAAAGCCACAAAGCTGAAAGGCCTCAGCTCACTGGGACGCTTCGGGGATCCCTCAAACTCATCCTTTCTACGGATCCCTGAGGCCCATCTTGATTACGAAAAACTTAGCGTTTTACGCATCCCTCACACGAGCCCCTTTTGCCGATCCCTCAAACGGATCAACGTAAGGATCCCCTGAAAGTCTCACAATACCCTTCTCGCTCGCCTGTCGCCGGCGCAAGGCACGCAGCAAACGCCGCTCTGCCCAGCAGCTGCCCTCGAAAAAGGCCCATGAGCTCTTAGCAGAACTCTTGCGGTTTGGGGTTTGAGGGGGTTTAGGATTGCCTGGGGTTTTGGGTTTGCTATGTTGTTTTCTTCGACGGTTTCGAGTACCACAGCCACCGGAGCCGATAATTAGGTCAATTCTTCCTATATGCACCCCCAAAGCTCCTCCGAAAAATCACCTCCCCGTGTGAAGAAAAACTAATACCCATTGACGTGGGCGTGTGTCTGTACAAGTATTGTACCCTGATGTCATGGACGTGTCTTATCTTAGCTTGCTGACAATAAGCCTTTCACAGCACTTTTTTTCATCCCGATTTAGTGATAGACACCGAATATGGATTGGCCCAGAAAGTCGATTCAAGCTCTTAAGTCTTAAGTTCTAACTCTTCACATCTAACACGCTTCTTGTCACAATCAGGGGGAGTGGTTAGCAGATGTAAGCAGTGTTAGCCCACAACCAGTTCACCAGCACCTGTGATCATAATTTACTGCTTTGCAACCTTGCCCTGTTGTACTATGCTACATGCTTACCCTTGCTTTCGCTAGGTTCTAGCAAAACGAGTTGTGAAATGACAGTTCACATGCTTGTGATACACCACCGGCAACTGTAGAAATGATTCACGGTAAAGGACGTGGGGCAAAAGCCTGCTACATTCGAACACCGTTCCTGCCACAAGAAAAGAATTCGTGCAGAACTGCAAGGAGTACCAAGCTCGAGCGATTGACATGCCATGCCTGGAATACGTACAAAAACGATGCAGTTG